TCTCATACCCATCCTTCTCATGCAAGTTCACCTCTATTATAACAAAAGAAGCAGAGCATACAAAGAAGGTCACTTGCCCATTCTCATATTGATATGTATGTGTATTTATATATAAAATATTTTTAAATACGTATATATATATATGAGTAACTTGAACTTTTCTACTGCTTCTATTTTTGTTGATGTTGATAGCTTATTGGTTTGGAAACTGAGGTAGGACAAATCCTAGAGTCATAGAGTCATGGAATGGTTTGGGTTGGAAGGGACCTTACAGATCATCACGTTCCAACCCCCCTGCCATGGGCAGGGACACCTTCCACCAGAGCAGGGTGCTCAAATGTTCCCATGGGATATCTGACCATCAAAAGCTCTGCTGAACTATGAACACAGTGCTGAAACTACAGACACGGATGCTTAAAAATCTATCACGCTTGATTTTCAGAAGTTGCCTGCTCTTCTTCCAAGTTCCAATACTTGTGGATAAGCAGATGTCCTGTGTGCAGTTAAACCTTGGTTCACACCCACAACACAGACAACTGAAATTGTAAGTGATAAGCAGTGCATATACTTCCTACCTGTAAATATTTAGAAACAAACTGGGAGGAAGAACTGACACCTTTCTTCCAGATCAGATCCTTAAGAACTAAATCACAGCTTTCGGACTGCGTTGCCAGGATGACAAAGATTTTGGTTGCACTCCGTCTTCGGTGCAGTGGCCATGCCACGCTAGCAAACACACACTTGAGAAATGCCTACAAGGCTTTCCATTCGTGCTGCAGTGCTCCAGCTAACACAGCAGACAGGCATGCTCCCAACTCCTGCAGCACCCGACAGCGCTGGGTGTTCCAGAAGAGGCAGAAGCCAGCTGCATTACCTGATGGAAATACATCTTGTTCCTGTCCTTGGAGAAATAAAGGAACTAAACAATGTCCCTGATACATTCAAAGCTCTGAGCCTACGATTTCCACCCGTGATAAAATCATGAGGCAAAACAAACAAAAGGCTAGTCTCATTTCTGGCTTAATGCATGCAACCATCAACTCTGACATACAAATCCATGCAGTGCTGAACAAACATAAGATTGTCTTCCCAAGCAGCTTTAAAAATCTGGTTTCCTGGTATATTTTTACCCAAGTCTGATACAACAGACTGTTGTTTAAAGCAACAGAGTCCTGCGTAGCAAAAACACATCTAACATCCTGGTTGACCTCATGGTTTGGACAGCAAGGATAAGCAGCATTTAGCACTGACTGCTCAGAAACTCTTTATAACTGGAAAAAAAAAAATCTGCTTTGCCTTATTGGACAGGCAGTGCTGCTATTTTATTTTGTACAAATGGTTTCTCTGGGTTGGGCTGAATACACACATAGATTGTTTGATTACCCAGCCTCGGGTGAAGAAATGTGCCTTCATGCTGAGGTGGGGTTTCGTTGTGTGTACTTAATGTGCTGATGTCTTCATCTGTTGGGGGCAGAAAGACTCTCCACCTAGTTAGCTTTGAAGAAGTCTTTTGGTCTCCCAGAGTAATGAGTGGCCTAATTTAAGCCTTCTGATTTCAGTTGAGCCAAGCTGGAGCTACTCAACCAGAATGCATAGATCTTATGCTTTCTCTCCTCATCTTAGGGCTGGGCCAGAAACCACAGTACTCACCTGCTTTATGGCTCAGATGCAACATTCCCCAAGAAGTCGTCAGTGCATATGGAAGTACCAGAACCACATCCATCTTCTACACTGAAAGAGTAGTGAAGTGGGTAGACAAAAAGCCAAGGAACAGCCACCTCTTCCAGGCAGAAAGGGAACACCCAGAGCAGTGCACAGAACCTGGCCTTTGAAACAGAGTCTTCATCACAGAAATGGGACAGCACCTGACAGAAGGGTATATAAAAATCAATTTCTGAGTAACACACAGAGGAATCCAACAGAGTCTGTAAAAGTTAGATTATTTAATGAGCTTTTCCAATCATTAAACAATATTACTCTATGAGTATACAGCACAGAGACAATTTCTGTAAGGGTCAGTCACATGTCACTGTGTTCCAGGGTAGCATTTTGCTCTGAGAAATGCACATCAGTTACATTTGAGAGCAATTTACAGTCATGACACTGTTCCATGGCGTGGAATAGGTCAGCTTTCCTTCACGGTGTATGGTCACCTACTTGTGTGCTCAGAAGACTCAGCAGCATTTCAGGCCGAAGAACCCACACAACTTCAACCCAAAGTTGCTGAATACCTTTAGTATTCATGCGACAGAGGCAGGGGGTTTAAGTTATGAATATTCAGGAACATCAAGTCCAGATGCTGTTTAGTGGCAGGTGACAAAACTTCATAAACTTTGTCAAGAGTCCACTGCCACGTGAGACACATTCAGGCAGTGCCATTTGTACATTTACCTGACGGAGTGACGTTCCTGTTCAGCTCCATGAGACGAGCTGATGTCCATGTCCCTTCCTGTATGTATCTTCCTCCTGTATTTGAATGTAGGAGTCAGGGTGTGTCAGAGCCACCTGCTTGAAAACAAATGTCAGGAATTACTCATTCAAATCACAAGCGGCAAGGATGCGGGTGACGGCAAGCCTGCAACTGCAAAGGAGATGCCAGGCCTATACAAAGAAAGGCACATTACCACCTCATACAGTATGAAATATATGCAAAGGAGAAGAATCAGCATAACCTCATGCCAGCAAATGATGTACCCCAATCACACCCAGCAAAGCTTTGGGCACTGTTTCTTTTTTTTGGGGGGGGGGAGTGATGGCAAAGCAACGCATCAGATCCACGTAGGTGAGCAGGCCCACAGCGCAGGAGGCTGACCCTTGGAATGGTGTGTGCAGGCATCCAGCGATTAACAGCCTTGATCTCGTGAAACGTAAAGTGTGTGGGGTTCTCAGCAGCTTCAGGGAATAAAAGTGTTGCAGTGTCTCAGCTCTGCTACTTTCATCAGCAGGTATCTCTCACCAGCACCGCTCCGGAATACTGTCCCCAGCCACGACTGCAGCGCAGACATGTCACCTCCCCAGAAAATCACTTCTTGGACAAAAATTCTGAGCGTAGCTGTGCTGGCTCCGGGCCACTACGTAACATATCCCTTTGTAGGCTTGGTTTGCACGTAGGAGATCATTTCCATTGGGATCGTTTCAACTCCAGCCAACTGTCCAGCTATTAAATTTAAAACCAGCTTTCCTAATCCCTGATACTCATACCTGTTTACCTGCTACTACCCGTATTGTTGGCAGCTGCATCTGTTTCGATAGATGCATCAGGCCTGGGTAAGTCCAACCAGTTCTGGAACACTGTAAGACAGTCGCCAGAGGCGAGATGCATCCCCCAGGCAGGTAGGGACGTGGTAGATATCAGGTAGCCAAGCGCATTTCAGTGTCTGCAAGCACCTACCTTGTTTTCAGCAGCAGATGTGAGCTGTTTCAGAGGTTGGTGCCAAGGCCTGAGTAACTATAAGATTATGTGAGCAAATACAAAAGGAAGGTGGATGTGATGGAGTTTCCTTCCTGCCATCCCATTTATGACACAAATACATTGCTTTCCCTAGATGAGCTTGAAGTTTTTCACAAAGACGGGACAAAAAGAATAGAATCCCATACTTGTGAGAAGAAGGGGCTGAGAGATGGCATGGACATGGTGTTTTGTTAGGTCTTGGAGGGGTGACATGGCAGCAAGGTGACATTTTAAGGGGAGACATGGAAGAGCTACCAGTTATCTCTACCTACCCCAGATAAACTTCAAAATTAGTTAGAATACCCCTTACATTCTGATTTGTCACGCAGAACTGAAATAAATCAACCCAACTCAAGCAATTTACACGCAATCCCTGTAAGCTGATCAGACGCAGACACGGGTAAAGCAGTATTAGAAAGACTAAAATACGTAATCCAAACTAATAATCCAATAACAAATCTGACCAAATGCCCACTGTCAGATGTGGAAAAACTCCCTAAAATTTTGAATGGGCAGTCAATTATCTTGATAACTTAGCTTTGCCAGTGCCCTGGCTGCAGACTGTGAGCAGGGTTAGCAAGGCAGCTATACAAAGGGACGAACCCACTACCGGACGTGGTGCCTTCTATAGCTGCCTCAGTTTTAAGACGATGAGTGCGTCACCAGGCCAAGAAGTATGGAGTCTCGGCCTCAGAGAGATGGTAAAGAAAAAAAAATAGGACTAGAAAGAAGACCAAAATCACAGCTATAAACATGCTACACAGTGAAAATCAAGGATGTCAACAGTATGACCTGTTTCCTAGGTCCTTACACAACCATGCTGTATTAAAACAAGATTTCAAAAGCTGGCACACTAATAGCAGTCCTTGTGCGACAGACATTTCTACTTGGTGACCAGCTCCTCCTGCTTCCTCCCCAAATAAAGTGTGGACGAAGTCTAAAGAAACAAGAGCCTGTGGTACAACTTCAGCAGCACCACTGCAGCTCCATTAGGTCTTCTGGACCTTAAACAGCAACAAGGCAGTGAGGAAAACGACATTTCAAAAATAGAGATCAGCTTTGCATGGATAATTCAAATGAGGAAACTGGTTAGTGCTTCACTGACTGCACATATTTGAATGCCAAATAATATAACAATAAAAACACAACAAACTGAACTGAACAGATCCTAGGGCACTGTAAAGGAAAAATACCACAAATCATCACCAATGACTCGGCAATAGGACACGGACGCTTCTACAGGGTCTTACCCGAGTGTTTGATGGTAAAATTGGTTAGGGAAAAAAGGCTTTTGTTTAATCAAATTTTACACTTCAGGAGAGATGGCTTTCCTTCCTGCTCCACAGTGGGGAGCATGCACTTCTACCTAACTGTAGGCTGGGCTCGCTTCCCATTGAGATCTGACATCCCATCGTTTCTCTGGGTATTTGAATCACTTTTAGAGCTTTGTTTGATCAGACCTAGGAAAGTATCAGGAAAGACAAGGTCGCAGCTCTGCCTTTGCAGCCTTTTGAGAAACGCAGGAAGGTACACCAAAGACTATATTTACTGGTCAAGATCATATCTTGTCCCGACAAGACAGCAATGGGCAGAGCCAACAAAGCCCCCAGGACAGCATTGCGCTGGCAGTTCCATCGGCTGTCCGGCAGCACGGCGTGCTTCCGAACCTGCCTGGGCAGGCAAGGCACGAGGGTGGCAAACGGAGCCGAGAGCATGCTGGTCTCCCAGACGCTCCCCGGGCAGCTCTGCTCTGGTTAGCCTCTGCTGCCTGTCCCGATGGAGGGCAAGAATCTTTCTGGTCTTCTTGGAAAGCAATGGGCAACTCCAGTATCCTGGTTAATATCTTCCTGGAAAAAAAAAAACCACCCGAACACTTTGTACAAGGAACCACAGATAATTCTTGGCTATTTCACCTTTCGGTCTCTGTACTGCTAGAGCCAAGTGTGTGTTAAAGCAGAAGTAAATAGGAAGGATTATTTTTGTTAGATTAATCAGCAAGCTGGAGGTCTGCTTAAAATAATCAGCAAAGAAAAAAAAATTGTATCAACACATATTTTAAAAATATTTTTAATTAGCACAGATGTATCATTTTACAAGTCACACAGTCCATGTTAGAGAGGTAGTCAGCAAAAGAGAAAATTACACTTTTCGGCTCACCAACAGAAGACTACGCTAATTTTTCATTCCCATTCAAACAGTTTATCATTATATGGGAAACAGTACACCAGTTTTATAAATCCCAAATGTCAACTTGTCACAAAGATATTACACTTGAGGAAAACCTCTCTACATTTCTTGTCATGACATGGATTTTTTTATTCTAGAAACCTGGAATACAGCTATTTAGAAAAAGGAATTTAGACCTACTCACTGGGCTTAGTTCTAGACTCCACTGGAAGACTACTGTACTGACTTGGAAATTGCTACAAAACCCAGAATGATCATTTGTCTGCCAACATGGAAAATCTCTTCTGGACGGAGTATCTCCAGGTAGATACTGTTGCTACAATTTCTTAGCACTGGGACTCACCAAGGGCTCTAAATACCATATCTCCCAACAGCCCTCACCCCAAAGCAGCAGCTGTTCAGAAAAAGAACTGTATCTGAAGTTTCCAAACATGTAGCTGAAGAAAAAACACCTTGAGAAAGTTATCAGTAGCCCTGATTTAAACCTAAGAAACAGGAGTCTGCCAATCCAGAAAATGAATAAAAATGAAAACATATCTAGTCCATACTGAACATTTGCACAGAACAGTAAGGCTGGAGATGAAAAATGCTACCGCAGCACAGAGCACTGTCATTTTATAGTGAGCTCCAGTTGACAACACCATCAGGGAAAGGAGCAGGAAAAAAAAAAAAGAAGAAAAAGCTTTTTGCAAAGCAAAAAAGGAGGCAAACTGTGTCTTCCTGACAGCTGGCCTCATCAGTGGCCGTAAGTATGGAAAGGAGGGATGTATTATTCAAGAGACAGCAGTGGCAGGACTGGTAGGAGATCAGTAGTCAGCACAGGAAATGTTTTTTGAAAAAATCCTAATTACAGTCCTTCTCTCCCAGTATATCCTGTGCTGCACTGAAACAACATGAGCAAACCTGAAAAAGGGGCCTTTTCTTGAGAAAGAAGTTGTGATACAGACACACATGAGCAAAATCCAAAATGTCTTTGCAGCCAGTGGAACCGGTGCCCACACTGTGTAAGCTAAGAGAAAAGACAGACAAAACCAGACAAGCAAAGAAGCAGCCAGCAGGATTCAGTGACATCTGGTATCTCTTTCTCCATGCTAGCCACTTTTGCGTTTTCAGACTTTTATTGAACCTGTGCATAGCTCATTTTTTCCTTCTAAGTCCAAGGAAACAGGAGAGGCAGAGGTGTGAAGGAAGAGTAAAAGCCACTCCATCACTGCATAAGCACATCTGGTGCCAACAGAAGCCTACATACACTGATGTCAATGCATTTATTGAAGCCTATCTTTTGTTACCTACTTATACCTAGCTCCAGTGACTGCCTGCATTCTGGCAGATTTCAGTCTTGGGACAAAGCAAAAGCATTTCACTAAGAACTAAGAGCTCTTTCGCTCTGTTACGTGATCAGGACCTTCAGAGCTGCAGAGCACTGCCATGGAAGGGCACGGGCCATCTCTGCTGGTGGAAGGAGCGGAGAGGGCAGGCTTCTCCAACATCAGCATTTTCCTTCCGTAAAATTTGAACTACAAGTACAAGCAGCATTAATCCAGCTTTGAAGGTGGAAGAGAGCTGCCAATAGAAAAACCTGAGAAACAACAGAAGTCTTCTCCCATGCTGTCAAGTACTTAGCAGAAACTCATTGCGTACAACTAAAATTAAAACATTTTAGGCGTAACCTCATCAGGAGTTTCGCTGAATTCTCTTTCCACACCAGAGTTATCTTACCATAGAAGACTTTGCTCTGTTGTTTCTCCAAGACCCAGGTTTGTTTTCCAGCGGGCTCTGGGGGCTCTGCAGGAGGAGTGTGCACCCTGGACTGTCAGGGAAGGTACCCGCCTCATCTGGGACACCAGCCAGGATGCTTGGACCCAAATAAACAGGCACCTGCCGTGTACATGATGGGGCTAAAGCCTATTATGGGTGTGAAAGAATACCACAGGACTTATAGATCCACAAGAATAAAGTATGGAGGACCTTGGTGTCACACAAATGCTCCACAGCATCCCTCTTCAAGGTCGTATCGTAGAACCCGGAGGGCATGGCACAAGCTGTGCCATCTCAGGGCCTCATCCAGACATCATACCTCACCCTGCATCTAGGTGTCCATCGATAGGACATCGTATACACAAGACTCAACTCAGGCAGTTTCATAGTAGCTATCATACGTGCCATTTCCAAATTGCCCCAAGGTTTCCATTCTACAAGGCTTACAAAGGGTCAGTCCAGATCTTTGCATCTTGCCAGTCTCGATGAGTTGCACGAAGCCCCAGTCCTCATTTCCCACTCCTAGCAACGCTGCTTCTGTGTCTGACTTTACCTGCAATAATTGGTCTCTGAAGGACGAGAAATGGCAGTAACTTGCGCTGGGTTGCAAGGTGTGGGAATGGAGGAAATTAGCACCAACTCTTTTTTCCATCCCAGTGAACAATGTGATTACTGGGGAGGGAGAGGAGGAGGGGAGAAGGACTGAGCCTTACATCAGCTGTGAGATGGGGTTTTATCTTTTTTTTTTTTTGCTCCTTTTAAAACAAACAGATGGGGAGACCATTGCATTCACAGCTTCTACCACACAAACATACATCACAGCAGATTTTGCCAATAAAAGAGTTAAATAATGTGTTACTTAAATCATCAACATTCTTGTGTAAAAAAAACAGAAGAAATAAAAAAACCTCTCTAGGGAAAAAGAAGGCAGCAGCATAACCCCAAGTGATGCCAGCATGTTGAAACAGGACATTCGGGACTTTAGCTACATCGTTCAGTAAAATGGCAGAATGGAACTAGTCAGTTATAACGCATCTTTTTTTCAGCTATCAAATAATTACCACCTCCCCATCGTTTTGTTTTGAGCCTCGCTGGTTGAGGTGTAAGCAACCTTCCATATGCCTCTGCTTATTCCAGACGAGGCTCTCCCTGCACAGAGGCAGGCTTTCCTTACGAGACGGGGTCATCAGTGCAGCATCTTATTTTCTTGACAGCATGCTGCAGCAGGCACTCAACTGGACGGGATCAGCTTTGCTATTTGGCGGTGGTGGGAAGCTACAGTACCCCACCAAGCATCCAAACCTTCAGAAGCAGCTAGACCAGTCGTCTTAACTCATCTTTAGTATCCCTATACCAGTATTTAGAGTAGTGCATAGGGCGTTCCCATCCTGAGAAGTTTTTATACTAGGAGCAACCAAAGTCAACAGATAGCAAACATAAAGGCAGCGAGCGCTGCTTGGAACCTCTCCATCTGGTATTTCTGTGATTTTGGAGATATTTCCCAGGGACCAAGCGGGAACATGGAAATGTAAAACCCTCTAAACACAAATGTTTAGATTACAATTTCCTGAAGGGAAAAAAGGAGAAGGGATTAATATCACGAACGTTCTCTTTCTTGGGAACCACTCGCCAAAACTGCTCCCAAACGCTTATGGTCAGTCCTGCCCTTGCTTGCAACGGGACTTGATTCAAGACCTTTTTTGTTTCCAGCCTTTTCTTTCACCCATTACACCCAAACCACTGCCAGTGAGCGAACATGTGCAAACACCAGTCTCTGGTGGAAGCTGGTGTTGCATAGCCTGCAGGCTCTTGCTCTGTGCTTAGAGTTCAGTCCATGCAAGTATCAATTAAAGAAACTATTCCAGGACTCTCACTATTCAGGCTAAATTTTTATTTCTACACATAAGGAAAGATGGGTTCACAAAGGTGGAGTATTTCAGGTTAATAGTTTTGGGCATTTCTTATAAGCATTAGCATATTTCCCAGAATACAAGTGCATCTTTTGAGTGCATTATCCCTTCTGCCTTAATTAGATTTGAGCAGGCACATAAACAAGAATAACAATTGGCTCCAAAACATATCCCTATTAATACTGCAACAGTTCTGAAACTCTAGAAATTCTCTAGCCAGGAAAAAAATATGGATGTACAATAGGACCAATCAGTTCATATGCCAGGCTAAGATACAGAGCCTGTTTTCATCTGATTTTTTATTAACTTGCCAAGTTAATAAAGCAGATGGTATGAGCAAATTCCACAGAACTATGCTTATAGTAAACTTTGAAAGCATCTGGTCTTTGGGGGGGGTGGGGAGAAGCAGGAATCAAACGCAGAAAAATCTGGGGAAAGGCCAAACAGAAAAAATATAGGGAAAAAAAATTATAAACAAACTCTGAAGTGAAAGAGCTTTGTGTCCAGATTTTGCTGATTAACACAACACTGTTAAAGACAGTATTTAGTGTCTGTAGCTTCAAAAAATGCTTCATTTGATTCGTTGAAGCCAACAGTTTGGGGCCAACGGACTCAGGGACACTCAAGTCCAGTTTCTGAAAAAATCTCATCTGATGCTGCATGTTTCTAGAACGTTTTCTGGAAAAATACATTCATGTTCTTCATTAACGAGATGACATCCGTGGAGCCCAACCCTTCAGTTCCTAACACATCATTCAGATTTAGTTGCAATGAAAAAGCGTTGCCCTAAAACTGCTATTTTTCCTACAGGAAGATATGATTACAACAAAATATTGTCAAAGAGTTGCTTGTGGGATGAC